ATAAAACCCTGGCAGGATAGATGACAATAGTTCTAGGAAGCCCATTACTCAACATGGCAATAGCTCCAATGCTTCCTTATTTTCAGAGGCCCCAGAGACAGAGGGTTTCATTATCCAGACCCAGGACTTGAGTGTTCTGCTTCTAGAGACTACACAAGAGGTATGAAAGATAAGAGGACATACAAGAGTGACACAGAAAAAAACAAGCGGAAGAGAGAAACAAATAGAAATCCATATTGGAAAAAACGCACCGAAATGTATATAAAATGTATCTCCTAAGGAGATGCAATTTGTATGTCCATTTATTTTTAAATGAACGTATACCATATTTCCATAACAAACAAACAAAAAACACTATGCTTTAGTCAAGTGTGCTTTTCAGTATGACTGGAAGAATCCAGGAATCCCTCAAATTATGTGTAAGGTTAGTTGGTCACAAAATTCCATGTGTCAAATCTCACTTTTAGTTTATTTGCATTGGGAAACGGAAGTGTGTTCTGGAAGAACTAAGATTGAGAGGTAAATTGGGGGGAAAGTAAGGACTTTTCCTTATGTCCATTCCAGCACAGGTATCCTCTCAAGCAACACAGGGCTAGGCATGGTGGTTGTAGGGCTGGCCAAACTGATGAGAGGTGACACTGCTCAGGACACAGTGTAGTCGCACAGCAGGGCATCCTACCACTGGGAACTTGCACCCTATAAAATCAGAGAAACCAAAAAACCCTGTAACTGCCTGCCTTTAGGCTGTATATTCAAAACGTATTTCCTGTTTTACCCAGTCATTAACGTATACAGATATTCCCTACTTAAATGAACAGTGAGTGAATAGATTTTAGGATCAGCATTTTACCACAAAAATGCCATTCATTGCATAACTCCAACTCAGGGAGAACAAATAAAACTAGAGAAACTCATTTCTAGCCCAAAAACAATTTAAAAAAACAAAAAACAAAACAAACTCACTGATAAAGCATTCTTGAGCAAAAACAAGAGGATAAAACTTAAGAATCCCGTAAGGATTATACATGTTAAGACTGGCTTTTAAACTTTAAAAACCTTTTTTAAACTGCTTAAAGAAAAAGCAGTCCCATAGACCCAGGTTCCATAAAATTGCAACAATCATATTCAAAGTTACTAGCAACATGTAAAATACTTAAATTCCATTAGTTATGCAATTCCATTTAAAGACATTAAAACACTTTTCACTTCAAAAACAATCTGAAAATTCCTATTTAGGTTGTCCGTTATGTTTAAGCCTATATCTGTCTGTCTTTCTGAGGACAATCTCACATTCTGGAAAGCTACCCCTTAACGAAGGTTGAACTACTACTAACAGTCCACTTTTGGGAAAGGGACTGGTGCATACACACTGTTAATGAAAGCTGTTTGGAATCATCTCTTTCCTAGCGGTGCTCTTCCAGGTTCTGTGAGTTACTTAAGCAGTGTGAATGCAAACCTGCTGAGACTCAGGGAAGACTTAATACTTAGGGGAGGTATTTATTGAACCACAGCATTAAGTGTCTACTTCTGCGGACCCTGTCTTAAGTTCTACCTGATTGGGAAGGTAATCTAGGTACTTGGTTCTGAAAAGGTTCTTGAATTTTCATGAAGCAAATCACTAATGTTACCTAGCCAAAGACCCTGGAAGAACATGTGCCTGGCTAACTGGTATCGGTTCATCTGGCTCCAAAGTCAACATTCTAACTTGTTTTCTAAATCGAATGAAAATCTGAGACCCTGTCTCTATTTTTTTTTAATTAAAAAAAAAAAAAAGGCAAAAAAAATTTTTTAAAAAGGTTGGGTGGCTCATGCCTGTAATCCTAGCACTTTGGGAGGCTGAGGTGGGAGGATTGCTTGAGTCCAGGAGTTCAAGACCAGCCTGGGCAAC